CGGCCTGCGGGGGCGGCGCCGAGGCAAAACTCCGTAAGTATTAACTTTGCGCGGTCGCCGCGGCGATTCCCGGGCCGCCTCTGGGACCCCAGCCTCCCCCGGCGCCCAGCCCTGCCCCTCGCCGTCCCGGGCCGCGCTGAGACCCCAGCTCGCCGTGCCCCGGTCGAAAAGTGCCCCCTCGCCCCGCCGCTGCCCTCCACGTCTTTGGCCGGGAGCTCAGAGGCTACTTCTGTGGGGAAGGCAAATGTGGGTCTGGCTTCTTTCCTATTTCTTTCTCCACTTGGAAACGGGCTCCGCGCTGCCCGGTTGGCGGGGTGGGCCACGCTTATTTTCTCCGCTGGTAAAAAAGAATGATTGGTTTCCAGGTTTTTGAAATTCTGTGGGATCGAGTCACCCTCCTCATGTCCGGGTTGTCCCTGGCCGCCAGAGCGTCAGGGGAAAGAGTCCGGAGGGGCGATGCGCAAAGTCGTCCCCTTTTGCCATCTGGAAAGTGGGGAGGGACGCGGGCTCCGGGGTGCATCTTGCGCGGTTCGGGGTCTCACCAGCCGGCTCCCCGGGTTCGCCATCCGCTGCGGCGTGGTTATTGTAGCATCACAGAGCCGCCTGGTGTTGCTAAACCACTACTTTCTCATCATCAGATGGCATCTGAGCGCTGCCAGCGTTGCATGTAATTGCGGGTCGGTATCTCCCTGGATCTGTAGGGATTTAGAAGGGAAATGGATGCAGGGCAGGCGTCCTAGCTGACTTCAACCCTTCAGGTTAGCCCTGCCAGCCCATCAAAGCACTGCATTTTTTAAAATTCCTCCAGCCGGTGACAATCAGGGACGGGCATTTATGGATTTTCTAGTGCATGTGGCTCAGCAATTCTTCATTAGAAGCACTTTTAATGTCGAGACAGACCTGCTTTTTTGACCCCAGGTTGTCGTTTTCCTTCCTTTTTAAAAAAATCTTTGACCTGTAAGTCTTTGCAACCAGGAGTTATTGCTCATGTTATGAAGGCACAGAAAATGAGAAGCTTTCTTGCTGGATTTTCAGCATGCTGGGTGAGGCTCTAGTGAATGTCAGCTAGTTCTCTGCAGCTAGAGGCACTGAGTGGACCCAAGAATCAGGGCTCAGGACACAGCAGTTACTTAGAGTGATTTGTGTTGAGTCTTTCTCTTTTCACAAACATGTTATTTGGTACTTTTTATTTATCTCCATGGGGAACTGTCCCAAAACCATAAAAATAATACTGCCCATATACCACTTTAAGGGTATGAAGCCTAATTTGATTATTCTATTGAAGGCCAAGGCCTAGCAAAATATAATTTTTAATATATGTTTTTAAAAACGCCCCCTTCCTGTATTCTCTCTTTTTAAGGGTCTTAAGGTGGTGATATATTTTATCAGGCATAATTGGTGGGTATGCACTGAATTATTTCTAACTTCATTGATCAAGCCTAACTCCTGGGCTTCCACAGCTCTGGGGACACTACACCCATGAAAGACATAAGCCACTCATGTATCAGAGGCCTGCAGGGCAGGCAAGTAACAAAGAAGAAAGAGTGTCTAATTCATGTTTTCAGGGTGGGCATTGACTGAATTTGGTGTTCGGTTAAAATTGGGGGGGCTTATAGATTTTAACCTCGGTGTTGGTATGGTACCCTTTTCTACCAAAATATTGTTTTTTTCTACCAAAATATTTTTTAAGGTTTCAATTTTTTGAAATCTGAATCTCAATGCATGACTTCTGTAGTCTTCTGTACTGTGTAACTTGCATCTACTTTTAATGTGAATGCCTTTGTCATTTTGAGAAATGATTTTTCAGAGTTTCTTAGTGATCTATATTATGTTGGTGTTATAATGATTTTTGCTCTAAAAATACTGTTTGCTGCAGGATATCCTTGCTTCCTTTATTGTGGTTGATTCTTGGCATTATGATTTTGCTCACTCCTTGTAAAACATCAAGGTTCTAGATATGTTGAGAGTGTGCAGAACACTGTAATATACAAATGGACGTGAGTGGGAAAGGGATTTGTTGAGGAAGACTCTATGCTTTGTAACTCTGAGGATTTGGTTTTAAAGAATAATCGTGCCACCTGTTTTTATGTTCCTCAGGCTAGCTTAAATAGTTTTCAAAATTCAGAGTGTGGGGATAGTTTCCAAATGCTTTATAGGATGGGCAAGAATGATTAGCCCATTGCTAGCCAGTCAACCAGACAGGCTTGGTGGCAGAGGAGACTGTCTGTTTTGAGTGCACTTGGCCATCATCCTGCTGCCTCGGTGATCTGCCTCGGTGATCTGTACTTTCTGTAAAATGGGGTGCTGTGATGAGTGGGACACCTGTTGTCTGGCCTGCACATCAAGGCAACCAGTCGGGCAGCACCCCAGCTTCTTCAGAACTGAGCTCTTGGTTACCAGCCTTTCAGACTTTTCCTCACGTCAGCCAGCCAGCAGTTCAGGCCCACCCAAAACCTGGCATTATCTTCCACTTTCTCTTCTCTCCATCACCACAACCCAACCAGTTTGTCACAAAGTCCTGTTCATTTTTTCTGTCAAAATTTTCAAACCTGGATGATTATCAGTGTCCTTGGTGTCACCATCCTTCTTCCCTGTCCCAGAACTCCTCCTCCCAACCTTCTTTACCCCTCCCTCTCAAAACCCCTCCCTGCCAGTCTGTTTCCCACCAGCAGCTCTCAAAGGAAAACAAGTCATTTGCTGTTTAAGGATGCAGAGCTTTTAGGAGACACATATATTCTTGGGGTAAAATATAAAACCCTCAATACAGCTGCAAGGCCCTCTGTGATTTGGCCCTGCCCCCTACTACATCTGGTGGCCACAGTGGCTCCTTCTTCAGAAGACTGGCCTAGGGACTGTGGCTGTTGTGCAGGCTACTGATGGCTATTCTAGGATCATCTCCCAAGTCACTTCTGGTCCTTGGATGCTAGTTCAAGTATCTTCGTTGCACAATTCTATGAGAAGCCCGGCCTTATCATCACCAACAGAGACAATCATCTTTTCCTTCTATTCTCAATCACAGCTTGTAATTATATATATTATTTTAGTATTTAACATTTCTTTGTGGCCCCAGAAAGCACTAATTCACCAATCTCTAGCCTGTGCTGGTGCAGTAGGTACTCAGGAAAGAGTCGTTGTCATGATAAACATAATAGTAACAGCCTTGTGTATTTTACCTCAGTTGCCTTTTGAGCCCTGTTAAGTCTGTGTTTCATACAGAAAAGGCAGAGCTCCATACTCACATGTTCTTCTTGATTTTATATACGAAGCAATCTTCGGAGATATCAGATAAAGTTAATACATCTGGGCTCTGAAAATTCATAGTACTAAATTGAGACACCTTTTAATTAGTGTTGCCCTTGTGATTTTCTATTGTAGATAATCCTTTTTCTTAATACATCATTAAAGTAATTAAGTGCTTTTTTTCCCCAGCAGGCCAGGGTTACCAAAAGAAAAAAATGATACATGTTACTTTACACATGTCCTGTGACAATGCTAGTCAGCAGCTGTTGGTTGTCTAGAGCCAGACTTAAAAGACAGTAGAGAGAGCTGCAGTGAAAAAATGAATTGCAGTTCCCAGGATATCCAGAGCTGTCCAGTGATGTGTCATGACTGGACATTCTTTGACCAACTAGTTAAGGGAAGGGAGAGTTTGAAATTAGGATCACCAAGATGCCTGGAATTCTTTTTTCCCTCTCTCACTAAAGCATTCCTGATATCAGCCAGAGAAGTTTCCTACCTTTCCAAGGCAAAGGCAGGCTTAAAGCTTTGCTTGTTTTTGTCATGTGGTTACTGCTTGCAAAATATTAATGTCAAGCACTTTAACTCGGAAGTACTTGTGTCTTCGTTACTGTTCCTTGTCTCTCCCCCCTTACATAATCACCTCTGTTTTCTCTGGACTTAAGATTTCATAGTTTTCCTTTCAAAATTTTCCCTCATAGCCTTAGAATACAATTACAGCTTTTCTCCACTTTTATATTTTGTAGATACGTAAGTATACAGGAGCATGGGAGCTGATTGTAGTCCTTTCAGAATTCGTCTGCTCATGGCCTCTGGATTTCCCACAAGTTGTTATACCTGTGGGTGATCTGGACTCCTAGTTTTTGCAGTCAGAAGCTGGGTGCCCCAGGTAGTATTTCTGAGCTGTCAAGTGTCCTGTGTTCCCACAGGAGGAAGAGTTCACCTGGCCAAAAATCATAAAAAGACAACTGCAACTTTTTGCACATTTGCTACTCTAAAGGAAACTGTTCCCATTGCCCCCTCACTGCCCCTCCCTCTATTTGTTAACCTCAAAAGTTGCAGTGTGCTTTCTGTAAAATGGGGGTGCTCTGATGAGTAGGACCTGTTGTCCGGCCTGCACATCAAGGTAGCCAGTCAGGCAGCACCCCAGCTTGGTTACTAGCCTTTTAGACTCTTCTTCATGTCAGTCAGGTATGCCTTGTAGCCTCACCCTTCACCTTGCTTATCCAGACCCATTTTTACTTTCTGAAAACATTGAGGGGAGGGGAGGGAGGCCCCACCCTTCAAAGTGCCTTGTTTTGGGCCTCTTGTGCCCCCAGGACACCTGCATGCATCTCTGTGGAGGAGGAAGTTCTGGCTGGGGCATAGTGTATATTACTGGTTGCTTGGGTGACCTTGAACAAGTTGCCTGAAGCTTTTTCAGCACCAGTAATATTTATTACCTATTTATTTCACAGCCTGGCTATAGAATTTAGATGACTTATTTTTGCCACTGTGTTTTTGTCACTTTCAAATACATCACAAAGCTCATTACAGTCAACTCCAGTGCTGTCCAAATTTTATGTGTTTAGAAAGATATTTTCACATTTAGTTGTGTGTTTTACTCTGCTTTGATAAGAAATCAGATGTAAATGCAGGTTGTAACAAGAGGAGAACTGTAGTAATTTTCCACCAGGTTTTATTCATGTGGGTGGTATATTTCTTCACTCTTGCTACTTGTCATTGGTTTCTGACTGCTAAATCATATTTTGTCACATACAGATTTTTTTTGGAGACACCTCCATGTTGATATCTGT